TAGCCAGGATGGTCTCGATCTCCTGACCTCGTGATCCGCCCGTCTCGGCCTCCCAAAGTGCTGGGATTACAGGCTTGAGCCACCGCGCCCGGCCAAGCTTAAACATCTTGTTTTTTGTATTCAATTCAAATCGTAAGCCTGGATGACAAGGCGAAAACCCCATCTCTACAAAAAAATACAAAAATTAGCCTGGCATAGTGGTGCACACCTGTAGTCCTGGATACTCAAAAGGCTGAAGAGGGAGGATGGCTCGAGCCTGGGAGGTTGAGGCTGCAGTGAGCTGAGACTGTGCCAATTGCACTCCAGCTTTCAAGACAGAGTGAGACCCTGTCTCATAAAAGAAAATAAAAAACAAACAAAGTATACTGCTTCTTCCCCAACTTCTCTCAAAATTCAAGGACAGAGTCTTCATGTAGATTTTCATAGGATTTTATGGAGCCAAAGGCTCCTTAAGGAAATGCCACTTTAAAACAAAAGATACTTTTGTTTTCTTGGTCATCAGACTATTTTTAAAGTAGTTAAGTCCCAAGGGTGTTTTTGTTTTGTTTTGTTTTTTTGAGACAGGGTCTCACTCTGTTGCCCAGGCTAGAGTACAGTGATACAATCATAGTTCACTGCAGCCTCAACCTGCCAGGCTCAAGCTATCCTCCCACCTCAGCCTCCTGAGGAGCTGGCAGTACAGGCATGTACCACCACACCCAGCAATTTTTTTTTTTTAAACTAGAGATGGCTTCTCATTATGTTGCTCAGGCTGGTCTTGAACATGGGTTCACATGATCCTCCTGCCTCAGCCTCTCAAAGTGCTGTATAGGCCTCAGCCATGGCGCCGGGTCCTGAGATTCTTAAAAGTGTTGGTTGATCCAAGTCAATTGCAGTACATAGAGCCTTTTCAGTGTTACTGGCAATGTTTTGCTTAACCAAAGAATGTGTTTGGTTCTTAACTACACATATTGAAAGGCTTATGGGTAACCTCTGTCTGATATCCCAGCTCTGAATATCCAGTGGTCCAATGTGCTTGGGCCTCCCAGGCTAGAAAGCCACTGTCTCCCGTGGACAAAGAGAGGGCCTGGTGACTGGTCCCTCTGCAAGACCACCGGGCACCTGCCAGGTCTGTCCATTCATGCTGCACAGGTTGAGTTTCTCCAGAGAAGAAACTGGGTTCCACAAGGTATCAGAAGACCCCAGCCACTCACTCTTCTCCTCTGTTTTTCTAACTCTACTTATCAACCAAATATCTTTCTTTTGGTTTGGTGAGACAGGAGATGACAATAAAGCCTGATTATGCTTTATCTACACTTTGCGAGTCCAAGCCTCTGTCAAAGTCCACTTAAATAATTTTTAAAAAGAATCTGCTCCTAGCTCCACTTCTAAAAGCACGAAATAAGTCTGTAATCAAATGAAATTCAGAAAGGGTATTACATTTTGTCCAGCACCAGTGCACAACATAGAATTCTGTTAAGTGTCTGTGGTTATTATGGTTATTGGATAAACACTATTTACGGAGCACTTACTGTGATCCAGGGACCATGTTAAACACTTTACATGTATTATCTCAATTAATCCTCCCAGCAACCTTTTGAAAAGGTTCTTTTTATTATCCACAGTATACAGAGGAGAAATAGGAGGCAGAGTGTGGCTGAGTAACTTGCTAAGGTCAGAGAACATAGCGGAGCCGGTTTGAATTTAAAAGAAAAAAAAAATCAAGTAAGATTTGTTTTCTTAAATAAGCTTTCTATCTCTTTCCCCAAACTGTTCTTCTTAAAACAACAAAACACATCCACCTAGAATCATTGTAATAAATTACTTTCAGTCCAGTATTAATAAAAATGCAGAAGAGAAGGAAAGTGGGAAGAATAAATCTCTAAATAAGGAAGCAAAAACAAATTTAAAAATTATAGCTCTACCAACTGTCTTGGAAAGTCTAGTTGTTATGGTCTGAATTCTGTTCCCCTGAATTCATATGTTGAAGTCCTAAGCCCCGGTACCTCAGAATGTAACAGTATTTGGAGAGAAGAGCTTTAAAGAGCTAATTAAGTTAAAATGAGATCTTTAGGATGTGCCCTAATCCAATGTGACTGCTGTCCTTAGAAGAAGATGAAATTTCTGCATAAAGGGGAATGACCATGTGAGAAACATAGCAAGAATATGGACATCTGCAGAGCAAGGAAAGAGGCCTCAGAAGAAACCGACCATCCCAACACCTTGATTTCAGACTTCCAGCCTTCAGAACTGTGAGAAAATAAATCTCTGCATTTAAGCCACCTGGTCCATGGTATTTTTTCAGGCAGCCCAAGCAAACTAACATACACCAGTATTTTTGTCAAATAATTGGGGGAGCCAGAATGCAGGATTCACGGAGAGTTGCACTGTAACTCACAGCTTCTACACTGGCTACTAGTAATTTGCAAGAATTTTCTCACATAAAAGATAAAAGTGAGAGTCTAAAGGGTACAAAGATAATCTTGGAAATGGAAAAAATAACTATTTTCACGTGAGCCTCTCCCACTTTTTGTAAACAGGAGCTTTTAAAATTACCTGTACAGAGGTAGCTATCTTCTGCTTGCGTGCTCTCTCTCTCCCTCTCCCTCTAACCCTCTCTTCTCCTGTTAACATTTCATTCAACAACCGTACATGTGACAGGCTTCATTCCCTCCACAGGTGGACAGGTATGCTGCTTAGGCTAAGAATACATTCAGTTATGGAGCAATGCATTAACTAGAGACATAGCATGACGTTCTAACCGACAAACTCCTTCACATGCAATTTGGCTTTGATATTGCTGAAGCAGGACAAGAAGCAAGACATCAACTAATTTCAGCTACTTGTGGCTTACCTACTCACATTATCTCATCACAACAATGGCTCCCCTTTTACCATCAGTCAACGGGCTAGGATCAAAATCAGTGACCTGAGCTTGATCAGTCTCCCAATCACAGCCATGCTCCCCCAGAAGCTGTGGGGTAAACGGCTTTATGCCAGAGTCAGCCCTCCCTCATGTCTGCTCAATAACCTTTCCTCGCTTTTGTTTGGATCTTAATGACCTCAACCCTTCACAAGAAGTTTGTCTCTTTTTTTTCTCCTCGACATGAACATAAAATGGCAGATAACCTACAGAAATAAATATAATTTAGATGTAAAATAAAATACATCTACTAGTGTGTGTATGCATGAGTGTGTGTCTCATTGGCATGCACCAGATTGTACTAAATGGCAGAAATTTCCCAAGGGAAGATAACCTCCAGATACTGCTACAAAGCTTTATTCCCCACACTCTGCAAATTATTTAATTTAAACACTGCTTGATATGACTCTCCTAGGAGAAGGGTGTTTTCCCAGGTCCATTTTTAATTTGCCAGTGTGTATATTCATGTGGGCCTATAGAACTGGCCTCGCAAACGCGCACATTGCTGAGAGAATCTGAGCAAAAGCTTCAGATTGCATAACCAGGGGCTGCAAATTGCTGTCTAAAACTAAGAAAATGGTAAAATGCATATGAAATTCCTTCTTCTTTTTGGTAACGAAAAAATAGATAAAGGTTCAAGTATCCATCTCCCAGTGCCCACACACCCAGACACTTTCCATTTCCATGAGAAACAGGACTAAATATTTTTTTAAATAGTGCATGTGCATGTGCAGGTATATGCTGGCATGTGCACCAGTGTTCATTTCTCACAGAAGAGAGTCATGTTTATTGATGCATTTTACTAAAGCAAGAGAAGCAACACAAAGATTAAAGAATCATTTCTCATCAGCATTGGATAGTCCTGTATCATGTGCCAGGGACATAATTTATAGCATTCTTTTAATCCTGCTTCTTCCACTTGCTTAGCTTTTACTGCTTTTCTATGACACAATCAGAAAAGAATACCTGGTAAAACAAAACCTTGAGTGTCCCATTATGAATTTTGCCGAATTTCACCACAAAACTTCTTGCCTTTTTAAAGAATGTATGGGTCCCATTAAGGAATTCATGAATTTCTCTACAGACAGAATTTCTTTACATACAGCTCCACAGAAGGGCTAACCCTGTCACACATGCAACCTTGAACACACAGGGCCCACCTTAGAGATTGTCTTGTTACCTTGGCTAAATCCATTTAAAAGCAGCTAGGCATTAGACAATAATTTCAATATTAACTTACTCTTCTTGCTTCTTCATCAGAGCAAGCTAACAGGATGTGAGCGCCTTTCACCCTTCACCTCGTCTTCCTCTAGTTCTCTCCCTATGTGGTACCCTCCGCACTGGTAAGGTGACTGCCTTCCTCCTGCCAGCCTAGTTATTTATTGACATAAGCTTGCATTCTGGGGCATTATCAGCTTAATGCATAATTCAAAATCTCTTGCATGTGGCCTGCACTTTTGCCTTATCCCCTGCATCCTGAATGAAAGATAAGAGGAAGTATTTCCAAAGTGGGCACAGAGAAGGATTCCTGAACATTAACATTGCACCCCCAACTTCTCAGAAAACTGCTTGCCTTGCAGCTTCCACACACCTTCACAAAGGCTTTGTACTGAGGAGAAAATAGTCCAAGAGATGGCCAAAACTTTATACCAAGTGGGGACCCAAGAACCTTTCAGATCAAGAGGTCTCTAAAGGTGGGAAAAAAAATCACAATTATTACCTTAAGCGTCACATCCTAGCGTGGCAGTCAGATGTTGTCAGCAAAGCGATAGTTTCAAACATCTGTAAGTCAAAACAAGAAAAATCAACTTTAGCATTTTTTTTTCCATGGGGCCAGGTAAGGTACATGTGTGTTGGAAGGGGAGAGAGGAGAGTGAATGGGAATATGGGCCAATGGAAAAGGCTTCTTAACATGTTGAAGGAAAGAAGAAGAATCCAATAAAAAGCCAAGAAGAGGACAAAAGGGAGAGAAAGAGAGTGAAATGTTAGGATGTAGATGAACTGGGGGAGAGGAAGGGAAGAAAGAGATATAGGCATTGGAGAAGAGCAGACTACAAGATCAACTGTATTAGAAGGTTAATTCAGTCAGAACCAATTCAGTAAAAATGACCGGAATGATTATTTTTTTTTCCTCTACTTAATTGACTGCCTTCTGATTGTGTTGATTAAATTAACTAGCTTTTTTTTAAATGATGTGTGAAAAGAGAAAATAAGTGGATAAGCCCACCTGCAAACACTCAGATCCAGGTAACCTGTATGCTCTGACTTGAACACATTAACAACTTGACTGACATAAACATGCACACACACGTACGTATGCATGTGCATGTGTGTGGCAATGTTGATTTTGTCAAGAATTACCATCACTGTCCCCCAGAATTTTCACAAGCATGCTGTATACATGTATATATAATATATACACTGAGTATTGCTTTCTATGATCCAAAGATTAATTATCTTTTTGGAAAGCAGTTTGTCCTCAATAGAGTAAGTATGCTGTATAAATGTATAAGCATCCTTTGTCAGAATGGCTTTTAAAATTCTAGCTCACTTCCCCCTAATACACCTAAAGTCAAGACATGATACTAAAAATCAGAAGGTCACCAATATCATTTGGACTTATTACTAAATACGGGATTCTAGTAGATGCTTTTTACATGCATTTTTTGAGTCTACCAAGCAATAATGCCTCCTTTCTTGTAAACATAAAGACATGAATTATTAAAAAATTAAAGACATTTAGAATAATGGTCTTTCATAGGAAAAGTATTTATTTCAACTTTCATCATTCATAGTTTATTGCATTGATTTTTTTCATCAGTGTACTCAGTATTAGGCTTCCACTGAACTCATCAATAAGAAATGAATTTTGGTAACTTTCAAGTCCACTATATTATTTTTCCTTTTATTTGTAGTGAATTTTTCTTCTCTCAATGGTATTACTGCAATAAGTCAGTCACTATTTCTTTATGTTTTCCTTTCTTTCTTTAGTATTTCATTTCCCTTTACAGCACATCTTGTGATCACAAAGAAAACAGAGATACTTATTTCTTTTAACAGTTGAAATTGCTGCAAGTGATTTAGCTGTCATTTAATTTGATTCCTCTCTTCTGTCTGTGGAGAAATATGTTTAATGTACTGGAAATTATGTTAATAAGAAAAAGCATTATCTCATTTAATGAAATAAATATACAAATATTTCAAAATAAAATAAAGAGGCAATCTTCACTGAGAAAAATGTCTCTTACGGTTTGCATAAAATAAACAAATGAGAAAAATTTATGAATACATTGAGACACTGACAAAAATTACACCTACATTCAGGGGTTGGCATGGCCGCAGCTTAGTAAATGAATTATCCACAACTTAATCAAATATGTTTTTGAAAAACATGGACATATATTAAAAATCAAATTACTAATTTTATATTTTCAATTATGTCAAACTGGATCATTTTATTTTTCTGGAATGTACCCTAGGTTTTTATAAAGTTTTCTTTGTATTTTTTCTCTTCTACTTCAATGATTGCTATTGCTCGAATTAATAATTATAAGCAATCTCACAGAAAACATGACCAACTCATGTAACTATAAAAAAGGTTAGAATCCTTTTGATTTTGCTAATCATAACAGAGTCAATGAACTCGTTCCAAAGCTTTTATATATTAAAATTTATCTAATGCACAAAAAGGTTAAATAAATATTGTTAGTGATTTGAGCTAAACTTGAAGCAATTATGTAATAAAAGCATGACCACAGTAACAGAAACACATAATTAGCAATTTAATTACTGGCATGAAGACAAGCTAAAGATGTCAATAAAAAAAAATTCTTTAGTGACAAGCCGATTTTTATTCTCTTTACTGCAATTTGAGAGAAATATGCACCACCTGATGAACAAAACCATTTTTATAAAAACCACCTAACCCTCCACAAACTGAAATATCTAATTTAAAAGATTTCTGATTTCATATCATTGCATAGTGAATCATTACATTTTATCCCATTTAGATTAGCACTTTCTTTTCTCTGAAAATACAGTATTTCCAGTCAGCAAGTAAAGAACATTTTTTTTTTTAAATAAGTTAAAGTAGCAGGTGTTCTGTTTCAATTTCATTTTTTCCAGCTTCAATAATGTATTTGACAGCAATGCTTTCCTGTATATGACATTCAGATATTCTATGTTTTATCTTGTAAATTTCAGTTGAGAAACATAACTAAACCATCAATTGCTTTAAGGGGAAATAAATGCTAACTACGGTAGATAGTAAGGCTATTTAGGCATTTCTCTAGGTTTTTCACAATTTCTTTCCCTCTCTCATCTCTGTAGTTAGGGTTACTGATGGAAGGTAAAGGAGAAAAATGAGTAAGCCAAGTTTATTGTGAAATGGTCCGCTTGTATTTTTTCATTACAATTCCAAGTTTCAGATTTTTAAACAGTCCTCAACTATTTATCGTAACATGTTCCATGTATTCTTACCGCCTTATATGTCACTAGTATTTAACCAGTAACAGAAAACAGATACCTCTAGATAGAACCATAATGATGGAAGTTTTCCATCGTGTGATAAAAAGTGAATCATCTTGGCTGGTGTTCAGTAGCCACTTGTACAAACCCAATACACGAAGTGAAATCATGAAAGCCAGACTCACTAAGAAGTTTAGTCTATAAATGCCCTTGGGGCATGATGGAACACACTTCAAAACATGAAACCCAGCCACTAAGGACATAATAAATAACTCCTAGTAGTACTGCGTTTATCATGAACCTACTGATTCTGATCACTTTGACATTACAGTTCCAATCAGATATCCTAACTAAATATTTCATGCTTGAGAAAGGGTGTGTAACACAAACTCAAAAGGTCCAAAGAAATTGAAAGTACTTTTTAAAATATGTTTTACTTGGCTGTAACTTGATACATTTTTTTAAAAGCAAATAATTGGGAGATAACTTTTTGGGAACTTCTTTGCTAATATATTGGTAACTTAGAATTATTCACTTCCCACATATATTTCAATTAGAGGTCTCTCCTGAATAAAGACTTCCCTTTTCCAGTGAGCTTTTGATCACTGTTTATTATATATCACTATCAGCTTCTAAGTATCTGTTTTAACTGTAAACCTAAACTTACCTGGATTTTTCAACTATAATTATCTGGGCTTCAAACTCACCTTCTTTGCATAGTTTTATAGTCCAGACACAAGGAATTGTCAAGAGCTTTGTTATTTAAAAACAAGCATGTTAATTTATAAAAATTCCATGGAAGACCTTCTACATTAGCTATTATGGAGGCTGGTTAAGCAAAGATACCTGTCTTTACAAAGAAGATGGTGTGCCCAACAATATTGTTGCCTCCTAAGTGAAGTCTAGTTATGATAAATGTCAAAGAGCTGACACAATAAATACAAAAAAAAGTTAATAAAATAAAGGGAGCACAGGGTCTTGTGAGCAGCTCCCTTTCTAAGTGAGTACTTTGGGGAGAGTTTCATAAAGCTTTAAAATGCAGCATCTCATTTGAACTTAGGAGCTGAACAGTCACTTCTAAAGGTAAAGAAACTGAGATTGAAAGAGGCTAACTTACCCAAGCATAAATGTATTTGAATGGGGACTAAATCACAGTTTTGTTGACTCTAACTTCAAGGCATGAAGAAGAAAGCATTTAAGATGAAGGAACCATTGAAAAAGTAAGTCAGGTAGAGAGGAAGGGAAGTAACTTAGGCAACATACGTAGGACTAAGGTGGATCACTTACTTAGGGAGAGCTGCAAAAGCAGTGAAAAGAAAGATTGGAAATTTAAGAGATAAGAGCAATAGATATTCAGAAATGTGTTCTCTAGACAGTGAGGAGTCACTGACGTTTCTGAATAGAATGGTGGTATAATGAACAGAGTGAAGCATGGATTGAAAAGGGGAGAAACAAAAGGCAAAAAGTGGGTGCTATTGGTGCTCCAGTCAGAATCCTTTGCCCAGGCCCAGCCATCCCCCACATGCTAGGAGAGTTGGCAGCTAAAGGCTCCCACCTGCCCCTTTTTCTGCAGGATTGTCCTTAGCCTGGCAGGATGAACTTCACTGCAGAGGTTAAAACTCTACAATCCACAAAAAAACTGCCTGACATGGAAGGGTGGGGCAACAAAAGCCACTTTCTTTGATTTGAGGGACATCAACTTTGTGGGGTAAGCAGTAGGTAGATGTTAGCTTTAACCACATGCCCTGCTCTGTTTCCCCATTCCCTTTCTCTTCAATGCATCCTTGTCTCAAGGAAACCCACTTGAGAGAAAGCTCTTAGTACCTGCACTGTCATCCTCTCCACTGGGGGAAGAATAAACCATCATGTAAACAGTTGAGTAACAGCAAACTCTACTCACCCAGAGAATAATCAGTACACAGAAAATCAACCAGGGAATGAATGCATGGAGGCCATCGAGATGTGATTGTGCTTTTCTGGTCTTCTTGGCTTTAATTGTTCAAAGAACAAAATTTGTATGGCATCACTGGGGGAAAGTTTATAACTCAACCACTCTAGTCTGCACAGGAGATACAGTGAAGCTTCTATTTCAGGTGGACATGAAAAAAAGGAATATTCTTATGACAGAAACCCACCAGACACTGGCTTTCCCTGTCCAAATCCAATCTGAGTTTTGTGGCTTAATAAATCTTTGTTCCATTTCTCACCCAACAGGAAACATCCCTGCTGTTTGAGCAATAACTAAATCCTAAATTTGCATCTGTATGTATTTAAAATGTGAAATGACAAAGAAAAAATAGTATTTTATAATACTGAG